TGGGTTGCAGGTTCGATCCTAACTCCAGTCGGGGCATGTGCAGGGGGCAATCAATGACGTGTCTCACGTTGATGTTTCTCTCCGTCCCCCCTGCCCCCACACACACACACACACCCTCCCTTCCAACCTCTCTAAAATTCAATGGAAAAAATATCCTCGGGTGAGGATTAACAACAACAAAAAGAAAGAAATAAACTCCACAAAGGCAAGGACATTTCTTTGATTGTGCTACAGCCTCAAGGCCTGAATAGAACCTACCCAGTACATTGTTGGGACAGAATAAATAAATACAATCCAGAAATGCCTGGGCTTAGAAAACAAAACCCTGAACAGCACAGAAGCCATCTCTTCTTTCCTACCAAGCAGGGCTTAATGCCCAGATTTCTTCAAAACAGTAGCAAGTATTTTAGGAAGCAAGCCAGAAGGACGTGACAAAATCCTCGCTTTTATAGGTAAACATGCAAGTTGAGTCATCACCTTCACATCAACCAGACCCATCATACAAAAGCACTTTTTTCCTGCTTTGAACCTCGAAAAATCCTAAAATATATATTACATAGATATTTTCTCCTTACAGATGAGGAAACAAGATCAGAGAAAACTGAGTCCACTGCCACCAAAATCATACAGCTATGACGTAGAGATAGTAGATTATGATCATTAGCTTAGTTGTTAAATTCAACTGGGTATGGAGGCAAATTTTTCTACTGATGTGGAGATTAGAAGAGTTAAACTAGCCCCCATCAACAGAAAATGTCAGGGAAACAAAACAAAACAAGGCAGGAGTGACACATACCCTTTTCCAGGCCCCAGTTTCGGAGAGCCCACGCCCTCTTTGGTCCGAGAAAGGATGTCTCTGACTCGGAGGGCAGCCAGTGGGTCTTTCTCTTTCCCCTTATCAGCCAAGGCAGTAGGACTGAGGTTCAATATGAGGAAAAGGCTGTTTAACAAGCACCAGGCACCGAGCAACTGGAAGTTCTGATAGTGCTGTTGAAAAAGGTATAAAAGGTAATTTTAAATAAATAAATAAGAAAAAGGCAGAAAAGAAAGATATGAACATTGATTGCTTATAGGCTACAAGACAGGAACACATCTTAGACGCTACAAGAGTGGAATGTAGCGGAGATGTGCTTCTTACCTCACCACCAGCCCGGCGAGAATTGCAGATTGCTTGTCCAATCATGTCATAAATTTCAAGCTGTCCAATATCAAACATACACAAAAATTTCAGCAAGCTGACATATTTCATTATACACAGCCTGTGGACCAAAGGGTCTCAAATCCGATTGCTGGTCAATGGCACATTGGGTTGCAGGTTCGATCCTAACTCCAGTCGGGGCATGTGCAGGGGGCAATCAATGACGTGTCTCACGTTGATGTTTCTCTCTCCGTCCCCCCTGCCCCCACACACACACACACCCTCCCTTCCAACCTCTCTAAAATTCAATGGAAATAATATCCTCGGGTGAGGATTAACAACAAAAAGAAAGAAACTCCACAAAGGCAAGGACATTGCTTTGACTGTGCTACAGCCTCAAGGCCTGAATAGAACCTACCTAGTACATTGTTGGGAAAGAATGAGTAAATACAATCCAGAAATGCCTGGACTTAGAAAACAAAACCCTGAACAGCACAGAAGCCATCTCTTCTTTCCTACCAAGCAGGGCTTAATGCCCCGATTTCTTCAAAACAGTAGCAAGTATTTTAGGAAGCAAGCCAGAAGGACGTGACAAAATCCTCGCTTTTATAGGTAAACATGCAAGTTGAGTCATCACCTTCAAATCAACCAAACCCATCATACGAAAGCACTTTTTTCCTGATTTGAACCTCGAAAAATCCTAAAATATATATTACATAGATATTTTCTCCTTACAGATGAGGAAACAAGATCAGAGAAAACTGAGTCCACTGCCACCAAAATCATACAGCTATGACGTAGAGATAGTAGATTATGATCATTAGCTTAGTTGTTAAATTCAACTGGGTATGGAGGCAAATTTTTCTACTGATGTGGAGATTAGAAGAGTTAAACTAGCCCCCATCAACAGAAAATGTCAGGGAAACCAAACAAAACAAGGCAGGAGTGACACATACCCTTTTCCAGGCCCCAGTTTCGGAGAGCCCACGCCCTCTTTGGTCCGAGAAAGGATGTCTCTGACTCGGAGGGCAGCCAGTGGGTCTTTCTCTTTCCCCTTATCAGCCAAGGCAGTAGGACTGAGGTTCAATATGAGGAAAAGGCTGTTTAACAAGCACCAGGCACCGAGCAACTGGAAGTTCTGATAGTGCTGTTGAAAAAGGTATAAAAGGTAATTTTAAATAAATAAATAAGAGAAAGGCAGAAAAGAAAGATATGAACATTGATTGCTTATAGGCTACAAGACAGGAACACATCTTAGACGCTACAAGAGTGGAATGTAGCAGAGATGTGCTTCTTACCTCACCACCAGCCCGGCGAGAACTGCAGATTGCTTGTCCAATCATGTCATAAATTTCAAGCTGTCCAATATCAAACATACACAAAAATTTGAGCAAGCTGACATATTTCATTATACACACTAAATCCTATCTCGATTAATTCAGCTTCGAGAGTTAAATATCCTCAAGTCACTTTCCAATGATACAACTGCATCACACCTTCCTTCATCTTCACACGGCATTGGCTCCCTCAGTTCACATCACCTCAGAGGTGTTCCCTCCACCCAATCTAAAGCAACACACCCAGGCCCAACATACCCAGATTGCTTTCTAACACATTTATTCATCCTATACACTTATCATTATTGGAAATTATCTTGTGTATTGTATGTCTCCACTAAAAGTACACTGACACATAGTAAGCCCTCAGATATATATGCTGATTGGATGACTCATCTTTTAAGGTCCACTGCCACCACAACATGGCAATGTTTTCTATAGGGTCAACCAATCTGCCAAATAAACAAACTGAATGCCTACCTCTTAGACCTAGAGAACTCCATGGCTTTTCCTCTACCAAGGAAGAAAGGAACTGGCCATAGTCTCTCATTTGAACAGTCAAGGCACCTGTAACCCCAGAGGGTGACTTACACATTTCTGGACAATCGTAGCTGCATCACTCTCATAGTCGTCTTCTTTGGAGCTCGTGGACCCTGTCCGCACTTGCTGAGTACTGCCCACATGAAGGATGGCCATACAGGTTGCCACACTCACACCTGAAAAAAGAAAGATGCACAGATTCCAATCATGGCATGGTCCGAAGAATCTACCAAAGCTGAAACAAAAAACCCACTCACAAGCAATTCAGTGATTTGATTACTCAAAGTAATTATTAGTGATCTGAGAATCCAGCTTCGTTGTGCAAAATAGACTGCAGGGTCATTAGACAAAAGGAGGCAATCATACTCCAAGGGTATTTACCTAAATGAGCGGAAAAACTGTCCACACAAAAACCTGCATACAGAAATTTATTGTATCTTTTACTCATAATCGCCAAGAAATAGAAGCAATCAAGATGTCCTTCAGAGGGTGAATGAAAAAACAAACTGTGGTACATATACAAGGAATATTATTCAGCAATAAAGAGATGAGCTATAAAGCCACAAAAAGACATGGAAGAAACTTAAATGCATATTCTAAGGGAAAAAAAAACAATCTGAAAAGATTACATACTATATGATTCTAACTATATGACAATCTGGAAAAGGTAAAACTAAGAAGACAATAAAAACATCAGTGGTTACTAGAGGTTGGGGATGAGGATAAGGAAGAGGCAACAGTTGCCGGAACCGGTTTGGCTCAGTGAATAGAGCGTCGGCCTGCTATACTAGGTGAAGTATAGGGGATTTTTAGAGCAAGGAAACTATTCTACATGATACAATGATTATGAATACATAATATTATGCATCTGCAACAGTATACTAGGTGAAGTATGGGGGATTTTTAGAGCAATGAAACTATCCTATATGATACAATGATTATGAATACATAATATTATGCATCTGTAAAAACACACATAGCTGTACAACACAAAAAGGGAACCCTAATCTAAACTATGAACTTCAGTTAATAATAATATATCAATACTGGTGCCTCAATCATAACAAATGTATCATATTAATGCAATGTTAATAAGAGAAAGTATGTGGGGGAGTGAAGGTATATGGAAACTATACAATCTGCTCAATTTTTCTGTAAACCTGAAACTGCTTTAAAAATAGAATTTATTGCCCTGGCCGGTGTGGCTCAGTTAGTTGGTCATCATCCTGTGCATCAAAATGTTGCTGGTTCAAGCAACAGAGGGCACATGCCCAGGTTGTAGGCTTAATCCCTGGTAGGGGGGTGCAAGAGGCAGCCAATCAACGTTTTGCTCTCACACTGATGTTTCTCTCTCTCTCCCTCTCCCATACTTTCTATCTAAAAATCAATTTAAAAAATACTTTAAAAAAATAAATAAAATCTGTTAATTTTAAAATATATTTTTAATGATTTTTATTATTTTTTTAAGATTTTGGGAAAAAATCCCACACTGTTTTTCTGGAAGGCATCAAGGACAAATTTCTTTCTTTAAATCTAACCCCAAGTGATCAAATTTCAACAACAAACCAAATCTGGGATCTTTCATCCAACTAGAATTTTTAAAGAATCTTTAATCCTTACTAACTAAACACACTGAAATCCATGTGGTATTCAAGAAATTTCCTGAAAATTGAAATTAATAAACCCCAAATTTAAAACTGCAAAGATCAGCGGTAGAGGACTAGCATATAAATACGGAAGTGGGCTTGGAGAGACTGCACGATCACATGCATCCTTAGCTTTCTACTCCCACTGCTGCTGCTCTAGCTCAGGCCATTAGTGTGTTCTTACCTGAGTGACTGCAAATTCCCTCTAACAGATCCTCCTGCCTCTACTACTTCCCCACACCAAAATATCCTGCATACTACTGCCTGAATGTTCTTCCTAAAATATAGCTCAGATCATAGCACCTTTCAAAATCTTTAATGATCTCTACTGTTAGAGGATGTGGTCCAAATGACTTAGACTGCATTCCTAAGCCCTCTGGGCTTGGGGCCTACTTTCTTGGAAGCTGTAACATTCACTAATCAACACACACACACACACACACACACACACCCCAGGATGTTCCCCAAGGTCTAGCATACTATTGGTCCTGCTTTTACCTCTGCCTAGGGATAGCCAAGCTAAAATCCTGCGTGCCCTACAAGATGCATCAACAGAACTTAATTCCTTCATGACTACTGCCTTCCTTAGTGGAAGTGCATTTAACGTTAGATTCCTATTTGAACAGGGATGTTCAACATAAGCTGTTCAAAGAATGTAGAAAGGTGACCAACTTCAGTAATTTCTTTGTGCCCCCAAAGTCAGACTTCCTAGACTGTTCAAATCCTCACTTACAGAACCAAGTAAACATCAGAAACGGTTATACCTTTCAAGACATTCCAGGATTATGATAGTTAAAAAGTCATGGCAACAATAACTTAAGAGAGTAAACACCAGCTGTCAGGCCCCAGTCTCAAGGCAGTGTGATCAAGAGGAAGGGGATTTTGTGGAAGCATGAAGAATAACATTCATCATATTTACCACCTGTTCTACAAAGCCTTCCTCAAACCTGCTCCCACAGCAACATCAATCGCTCCCTTCTTTGGGTGTCCCTAATATACTATACTTCTCTTATTGCCTTTAGCATCTCCTATTTTATATTATGCTATGTGGTTCTATCTGCTCTCCACTCTTGGGTATAGGTTCCTTGAGGGCAGGAATTACAGATGACTTACCTCAATATCCCAATAGCACTGGCATTTTGCTTTTCATACAGTAGACATTATCTGCACACACTATAAAACCAAATATGCACATAGCACAATGCTAGCTGTTAGTCAATAGGACAACCTACAAGATTCCTACTGAGACCTCATTTCACCTAGAAAGGATATTAGATGATCCCTGTGGGAAGGAAGGAAGCAAAGGTAAAGGGGGAGAGTGTATTTAGAAAGATCTCATGGTTTCTGGAAAGTATACCTGTGTTTGACTAAGAAAGTGAGATCAGACATAACTTCTCACCTGCATATAGACAACTTAGGCTGAGGACTGTCACATCTTGCAGACGAGAAGGATTGAGAGGTTCCAACACAGGTAGAGAAAGGGTATCCAATGCCATGGTTACATCGATCACCAGTGAATGAAAACTGGAATGTAATAGAAAAGATGAACGAAAGTGTCTCTTTGAATCGCTTGCTTCTATAATCTAAAAGTAGGCATGCCATAAAAACTACCCAGCTTCTCTCTTTTTAAGAACAGCATTCGACTGTAAAGTACATGTCCCCTGGAGCACCTTACCCATTACGAACAGCAGTGGCATCTGCTACTGTTGCGGGCATGATAAAGAAGGAATTTGCCAGCACTGCATCTTGAAACCGGTTGATGTAGCGTAGGAAATATGGCAGGTTCAAACAGACACGCAGTAGTTTCTCTGAGCCACCTGAATTAATGAAAAGGCTCGACCTTACAAACAAGCTTCTGTCTGCTCTTGGATTATTTTCCACTCAAGGAATATTTGAAAGCAGAGAAGCCAGTAGAGGAACCAATTAAGTGTCTTACCAAGCTCTTGAAGACTAGCCACATTCTGAGCTATGAACACATTCTTGGTTTTGATTGCAGAGGCTTGGTCTGTGGATGACTGCTCATCGTTTTCTCCTTCCACCTGAAGAGAAACAAAGGATGAGAAAAGCCTATCAAGATACGATCATCTGTTGACTGTTGGCCTGGAGTTCAGAACCGAACCAACTGTCCATACTAAGTAGCAACTTCATGGACACTCTTCAGACTCCCAGTTAATGAGAAGAGATTCCTCTCTAATGTTGGGGGAAATACAAGTCATTTTCTAAAAAGGAGGGGGGAAATATATAGCTTTAATATATTTTATATATCCTGCAACTACTATAGAGTGATGCCTTTCACAGAAAACATGCTTTACATTTGTTTATTCACATTGAGAAATGTTAGAAAATGGTCACAAAAATAATAATAACTGTGGACAGAGAAGTTGGGGTGAGTTTTACTTTTGTGTTTTTTTTGTTGCTGTTAATCCTCACCCAAGGATACCTTTTCCATTGATTTTTAAAGAGAATGGAAGGGAGGGAGGGGGAGAGAATATGGGAGAGACACATCGACTGGCTGCCTCCTGCACATGCCCAGACCAGTGCTAGGGATTGAACCCACAACCCAGGCCCTTCGGTGTGGGTAGATGCTCTAACCATTTAGCACACTGGCCAGGCCTTACTTTTCTTTTTGATTTGTATTCTTCAATTTTTTTCTACCATAGGCATGTATATCATTTTATATCAGAAATATAAAATATGTTTGTTACTTATTTTTCTAGTATTATCGTCTTAATAAGGACATTTGACTGAAATCACTCACCGGAGTCTGTGGGCCTACGGGCGGTGATGCTATAGTTCTAGGGTTGAAAACTGATGTCAGCTGGTTCAAAAAATTCATCTGTACCTCCTTCTGCCTCAGCTCTGGGCTTACTGGTGAGGCCAACTCTTTCTGATCTTCCACTGTGAAATACAAAAGCAAAAAGAGAGATGAGGAGAGTGCCCTTAGAAAGCAAAACAGGAAAAAGCAGGCCAGGGAAGTGGCCAAGTTACCAGGCCTGGCAAAGGAACACTCACCATCTGAGAGTGTCTTCACTGTTTGTGGCAGCTTGGCAGATTTCATCATTGCTGTAAACGTGATAATCTCAGTTCTGTCTAATCGGCTACAGCCAGTGCACAGGCCCTTGATGAGGAGAATCAAGTGTTTCTGAAAAGAAAACAAATTCAAATATGTCTTTTAGAAGATCCTACACTTTTGAGACTTCTAACTGGCATGGGACCAAATTTAGATTCCTACCAAGAACTGCAATCTTGGGTAAAAACACTAAAGCAGAGACAAGTTAATGGCCCTCTGACTGTATCTGGCTTGCAGGTTTGCCCTACATTTCTCACAAAGTTATTGGTTTTTAATTTGAAGTTTATACTAACTTTTTAAAACATGGAAGGTTTAACATACAAATCCAGATTTCTTATCTCTCTCAATAATTCACAAGATATAGCAATGAGCCTCCGAGTCTCCGTTACTACATGACAACAGTGAGCTGGAGCCAAATAGTGATTGGGCCCTTTATAGCTGGGTCATGTACCCATCTCGACTAGCACGCTTTACTCATTTTATGTTACTTACCTGGCACTGTAGACATGTAACTGGAATCCTTGAAAAAGCCTCTGCAGCCCTTTTTACCACAGATTAGAACACCACAGCCCCAGTTCAGCCCACTGCCTGTTTCTGTAAATAAAGTTCACTGGACCACAGTAATGCTCATGCATTTACGTAGTGTCTGTGTCTGCCTTCACACCACAAAGGCAGAGCTTGGAAAGGCAGAGACTAGTTGCAACAAGGACTGGATGGTCAACAAACTATTTACTATCTGGCCTATTACAGAAAAAGTTTATCAACCCCTGCTCTATGCCACCCCTTCTCCATCATTCCACTAGTCAATCACAATCCTACCTCAGAATAAGAGCCAGAGATGAGCCCATCACTCTCACCTGGGACACAGCACAAGCCTCATCTGGATTCTCCAGGCGTAGGAGAGAAAACTCAATCAGGACTTTACAGGCTGCTGCCACCGACTGAAGTTGGTTCCGGGGAACTGAGAAAGTAATAAGCTTTACTTAACCTCAAATTTCTGTAACTCACTTCAGCCTCACAGTCAATTAATCAAACAAAACATTCATTGAGCTCCATATATTCAACATTTCCAATATTTCCATGATAATAATTGTTCAGAACCAACAACCCAAGGGAGCACAAGAGCATCTTGGCATTGAAAACCATCAATTGCTTACAAATCAACTTACCTTATATTTACTAGAAATGAAAATAATTATAATAAGAAATACAGTGGGGCCTTGACTTACGAGTGTCCCGACTAACGAGTTTTTCGAGATACGAGCCATCTCTCGGCCGATTTTTTGCTTTGAGTTGCGAGCTAAAATTCGGGTTACGAGCCAGCTTCAGATACCCCACCGCTAGTTGGCGCAGCGAACGTCACAGTGAACGCCACAACATCAGCCCAGCATCACGTGTCTCACTTGTTCACTTCTTGATTTGACATATGAGTAATTTGAGTTACGAGCTCCGTCACGGAACGAATTAAACTCGTAAGTCAAGGCCCCACTGTACATCATTGTAAGCACCAAGAACTGCAAGTATATTAACTCAGTCCTTAAACCAATTCTCTGAGGTTGGTATTATTGTTATCTGCTCTCCCTCCTTTTTTTTTTTTTTTTTTTAACATAACCATAGAGAGGTTAAATGGCTTGCCCACAGTCACACAGCCAGAGTCAAATTCAGGAAGTCTGGCTCTAGAGTTCACGCCCTTAGCCACAAAACTATACTACCTCTTTTTCCCCATAGATTCTAAATGCCTTTTTGCAAGGGGCTCCCTATACAACGTTCCTTCAAGTTAAAAGTAATTTTTTCACCAGTAGCCAGTGCCTATAATAAACCACATTGGACACTAAAAGATTATTCAGCAACCCTGGAACTTCCTTTCATTTTACTTGCTTAGAATCTATTTCAGTAAACAAATCGTTACAATTTTTCAGAACTATATGAGTTAGAATTTTCATTAAAAATCTGAAAATGCAAAAATCCAGAAATAGTGAAAAATAAGAGCTTGGTCACTTTTTGAGTAGAAAAATTTAGAAGATAGAGACTTGAAGTAGAAATCTTTCAAATACCAGAGGACACAAAAGGAGAATTCTCTTTCTCACCAAAACCAAGTAAGGAATAGAGCCTTAGTTACTGGCTGCCAACCCCAGGTTGAGACCCACCTATCCCCCTAACTACCCCAGAAATGAACACACTAGTAAGTGCATTTATGAAGTCAAAAAAATGCTTCTGATTACGAAGGTAAAGAAGGTAAACTTAATGGGATATGAACAGGTGTCCAAAGGAAGTAGTTCTTAAATCCTCTTGGTTGGTCTAGGTCAGGGGTCCTCAAACTACGGCCCGCGGGCCACATGCAAATACAAATATTGTATTTGTTCCCGTTTTGTTTTTTTACTTCAAAATAAGATATGTGCAGTGTGCATAGGAATTTGTTCATAGTTTTTTTTTAAACTATAGTCCGGCCCTCCAACGGTCTGAGGGACAGTGAACTGGCCCCTGTTTAAGAAGTTTGAGGCCCCCTGGTCTAGGTAAAGAACTTGCAGAGCCTGATCACACCGACAGTTGCGAGCTTTACTTAACCTCAAACTTCTGTAACTCACTTCAGCCTCACAGTCAATATATCAAACAACACATGTATTGAATGAACTCTTGGTGAACAGGTCAAAAGTGCTAAAATACAGACTTCATTAAAACTTGTTCAGGCACCCTCGCAGGAGGATACACAACCCCCTACTCACAAGCCCTCGGGAGAGAGTGACAAGAGTGGAATACTTACTGAGGCTGCAAACCGTTGTAATATAGTGTGTAGAAAGTGCAACAAAAGATGAGTAGAATGGCTCATACTGCTTCTCATGGTGCAGGATTTCTGATTCACTACGAAGAAAATAATTTGGCCAAGATTTATTTAGTGCTTACCATATGCCAGATACCCTACCCATTCATTTATAGGTATTATCTTACTTAATTCTTATAGCAACCTTACTTGGAAGGCACTGTTATCATCCCTACATTCAAGACTGAGAATGTGAAGCTTAGAGAATTAAAATTAAGTACCTGTTCAAGGTATCTGGTTTAGTGAATGGCAAAGGCTAAAGGAAATTCAAGTAAAAACATAACAGGATACCATTTTGTCCTATATTACTGATTGGCAAAGACCAAAATCTAATAATAACGTGTATTTGCCAAAAGGGGTAGCCCAAAGCCCTTAAAATACTGTTCGTGGTAATACAGATTACAGTGATCCCTTATGAAGACCAAACAAGACTAGTCCATATGCAATAACTTTATAAACAATCAGTAACTCAAGGGAGGAAATAATCTAATTGTTGCCCAAATCAGATGCTAAGCCACAATCCATGAAACAAGAAGGCAAAAGACTAAACTGTATTTTATTAACAAGCAGAGCAATGTGGTTACATAGTTTCCTCAATGAGTTAATTCTCTAACCACAAGTATCAGCCTAGGAAGGGAAATGTAAACAGTAAGGATTCTACCCACATGCCAAAACAACACAGAAGCCAAAAAGCCAAGCTCAAGATTCAGAAGGTGCCAATGTGAATGATGAACTACCTCAAATAGCACTTAAGAGTCTGGCATTGCAAACATTTTGCTATTTGGGGATTTATCATGGATAAATGGGTACTTATCAAAGATCAGTTACTTATCTTGTAACAACTCCTTCACCAAGAAAAAGTATTTAAGGAACACACGATGTACAAGGACCTTCCTGCCCACCAACGATCATTTCTCCTTATTTGTCAGGTTAACAAAAAGGAGGAAACAAAAACCTTTAAACCAAGTAGCAAAGTTCCTAGTGACCATCACATTAATAAGGGACATACCACATTCATCAGAAAACTCCCTGCTAAATTCCCTTACTTCTACATTTACTTAGTTGTTCCTTTACTTCCATCCTTATGCTTTCTTATTCATTGTTCTAAAGTTTTTCCACCCCATAATTTGGTGTATTTCACTGAGTTGTTAATCTTCTCTGCTTTATTTCAAAACTTCAGAGTTGCTTACCCCCATGTTTTCTGTTGAATAGGTTTATCAAAACTACAAAAAACAAACAAAAAAACCCGGCCACCCAAAGGATGAACTTACTCTGTTTTCATTCCCAGTCAATGAAACAGATGCAAAATATATGAATAAACTCATTTAATTATCTGGTTCAATGTTGCCCCAATATGATTTAACAAACCCTATTCCTGCCCTAGAAAACACAATTGCCTTATTCCAATAAAGAAACAAGAATGCACTTTGCACCTCCTAGCAGTGGGCAAGAAGACACCCGATGGGCGGTGTTGCTCTTCTATCTGTCAGAGGCTAAGCAGACATACAGTCCTTAGTTCATCCTAGCTTGATGCCTGTGTTGGTGGCCAGAGCTGTTTCATGCCTGGAGCACTTCTAAATAAATAAATAAATAAATAAATAAATAAATAAATAAATAAAAAAGAATGCACTTTGGGGGAAAGATGGACACTAGCATAGGAGGGGGGAAATGGAGCAGTCTTGAGCTCCACTTATAATTTGCTTAGGGCAAATTAAGGATAAACCTGAGGAAATTAGTTTTCAAACCACTTGGAGGGAATAGACATGTGGTCAATAACAATGTCATATCTCTTGACTTTAAAGAAACAAGTATGTATGAGTCACCTAATAAAGATGTGCTGCCACACTTCCTGACCCCATCCGCATTCCCTAAGAACCTGATGGCTAGCAGAGAATGGAAAGAAATGAAAAAAAAAAAAATGGAATAAGGGACAAGAAGTTAGGTAGGAAGGGGAAGGATGAAGAAATTGGAGATAGATCTAACACAGAGGGAGAAAAATAAAAAGACTTAAAAATTCTTTCCTCTGGGCAGTGAGGCTATCTTCCTCAAACATCTGATCTGCTTCTTCTAACTTTGCAACAGCACCACTGACACACTGCTGCAAGACGGGGTGTTCATATTCCACACAAAATAAATGTGATGCAGAGTACAGAGGGGAACAGCAGCTAAGCAGCCAGGTCAGAGAAATCCACTTCGACATGTAAATAAAAAGAACTGGAAGGGTCTGGATATGTCTAGCTTTTTTTTAGGAAGAGGTAGAAATCTGAGAGGGCAAAATAAAAGATGAAGGATTCACCTCCCTTCTCCCTCTTAGATTACATACTTTTCAAATCTTTTGGGGGAACTTTGGAAACTCCACTAAGCCCTTTTACCTCACCTCATCAGAATCATAAACTCCAAGTATAGAATCCGTTGTTTACTTGTTTCATGATACAATCATGAAACAAATAAGCATAATGAATCCATTAATGAATTATATTTTAAAATAGCATATGTTTATTGAACATCTGCTCTATGCCACATTTAATACATATTAACCAAAGAACTGGAAGCTTTCAGATATGTCCCTCACATTCTTGACAAACCTGGGGTGAATGTGACACTAAGACAGGGAACATTAACTAGTACCAGAACTAATTTCACAGTGACACTCTATCAGTTGGTGGTGGGCTTTTTTTCTATAGTCAATCACAAACATATGTCCGATAGCATATAAATGCAAAAGAGCATGGCATTAGCATCCCTCTCTCCCTTTCAAGACCTTTAGGAAATGGCCCTAGCTGGTAGCATCGGCCTGCTGCAGACTGAAGGGTCCTGGGTTCCAGTCAAGGGCACATGCCCGGGTTGCAGGCTCAATCCCCAGTAGGGGGCGTGCAGGAAGCAGCCGATAAATGGTTCTCTCTCATCATTGGTGTCTCTATCTCTCTCTCCCTCTCCCTTCCTCTCTGAAATCAATAAAAATACATTAAAAAAAGATTTTTAGGAAATGACTCTGCATTATCTAATGAGGCTGTTGCAACAGCTTCTGCCTTCCCAAGTAGGTCTCTCTGGCTTAAATTTTATCAAATAACTGGGAGGCAGAGACTCAAAGAGGCTTATCACTAGGGAGGCCAGGACAGCCTAAGAAGGACTGGCTCAGAGGAAAGAGGCAATTTGTTTTTGTGATCAACAAAGAGTCCATCAAATTGTTCAGACAGCCATGCTCACCACCATATCTTGCGTAAAGTTAAGAAAGGATTTTTTTTATAGTACCTTAAAACATAAGGCTACATTCAGCAATTATATTAATTCCACGGGTAATATGTGCTCCATTAAGCTAGTTCTAGCTCTATTTCTGGTCTGGAAGAGTAATGGTGTTTAAAAGACTTTCAGTCTTTACTACTAAAAGACATGCTAGCCACAGACAGTAAAAATAAAAATAACTCCCCTTTCTGGGGGAGCGGGTGCAAGCTAGAAGGGGTCAATGGGGGATAAAGGGGAACATCTGTAATACTTTCAACCATAAAGATATTAAAAATAGCCCTAACCGGTTTGGCTCAGTGGATAGAGCGTCGGCCTGCGGACTGAAGGGTCCCAGGTTCGGAACATCTGTAATACTTTCAACCATAAAGATATTAAAAATAGCCCTAACCGGTTTGGCTCAGTGGATAGAGCGTCGGCCTGCGGACTGAAAGGTCCCAGGTTCAATTCCAGTCAAGGGCATGTACCTTGGTTGCAGGCACATCCCCAGTGGGGGGTGTGCAGGAGGCAGCTGAGCTGATCGATGTTTCTCTCTCATGGATGTTTCTAACTCTCTATCTCTCTCTCCCTTCCTCTCTGTAAAAAATAAATAAAATAAAATATTTTAAGATATTAAAAATAACTCCCCTTTAAAGTAAACTCAGATTACCTTTTTCTTTTAAAAATCCAATGACACTTTCGAAAATACCTTCCCAGTTTATTCATGCTAATCCATTCCTCCTTTGTTTCCTTAGTTTGGTTACCAAGCCAAATATAACAGGGTCTGGACCTAGGAATTTTTTTTTAGCTACCTTTTCTTCTAATCCAAAGGTCAATTCCAACTATAAAAGTATGAAAGAACAGGGGCAGAAAGCAGAATAGTAGGGTACTGAGCAGTCTCTTAAGACATTTGTCATCATCCCCAATAGTCAGAAAAGGAGGAATTCAATGGGTTAATAGGCTGCCAGATAGAAAGTAAGAGCTGGCATGATGGAACCAGGACATCAGAAAGGGAAACAGAAAGTAGCCAGATTGCAACAGAAAAATAGAAGATCCCTGGAGGCAAGGAAGAAAAGCATAGCAGGCAGACCAGGAAAAAACCCACAGGAGCTGAAGATGAAAGCGAAACCACAGAAGTAAAGCAGCAGCCTGGGCACCTAAGCAAGCCCCCCACAGCACCTGCACAGCACGGGCTCCGATCTGGTCCTATACTCAGTGGCCATAGCTTGATATTCAAGAAATACTTCCATCGTTCTGACACCCTCATTTCATTTTTTTGAAAGGCAAATAAAACTTGAGAAACACAATACTGACAGCACAGTACTAATTTTTGTGTTCCAAATCAGGGGTTGGCAAACTATGGCCTGCAGGCCAAATTCAGCCAATAGCCTGTTTATACAGTCCACATTTAAGCATGGTTTTTGTGGCCCTAGCCAGTTTAGCTCAGTGGATAGAGCATCAGCCTGTGGACTGAAGGGTCCCAGGCTCAATTCCGCTCAAGGACATATGCCCCAGTTGTGGGCTCAATCCCCAGTAGGGGGCATGCAGGAAGCAGCTGATCAATGATTCTCTCTTATCATTGATGTTTCTCTCTCCCTCTCCCTTCCTCTCTGAAATCAATAATATACATCCTATATAATAAAAGGGTAATATGCAAATCGACCAAACAGGGGAACAGAACGAGGGGTTGCTATGACGTGCACTACCAGGAGGCAGACACTCAATGCAGGAGCTGCCCCCTGGTGGTCAGTGCGCTCCCACAGGGGGATAGCAGCTCAGCCAGAAGCCAGGCTCATGGCTGGCGAGTGCAGTGCTGGTGACCAGAGCCTCTCCAGGGCAGTGCTAAGGATGTCCAACTGCCAGCTTAGGCCTGTGGAGAGGGGACCTAAGCCCTCAGTTGGACATCCCCTGAGGGCTCCCAGATTGCAAGTGGGTGCAGGCCTGGCTGAGGGACCACCCCCCCACCCCTCCCAAGTACATGATTTTCGTGCACCAGGCCTCTAGTGTGTATATAAACTATAAAAGGATTTTGTGGAATCTAATGAGCAAAATAAACTAAGAAAAAAATAGAAACAGACTAATAAATATAGAGAACAGACTAACAGCTGTCAGAGAGGAGGCGAGGTGGAGAGCTGGGTGAAAAAGATGAGGGGATTAAGCAAAATACAACAACAATACTCATAGACAAAGACAACAGTGTGGTGATTACCAGAGGGAAAGGGAGTTGAGGGGAAATAGAAGAGGGTAAAGGAGGGATAAATGGTGATGGAAGGAGACTTGACTTTGGTAGTGAACACACACTACAATATACAGATGATGTTTTATAAAATCGTACACTTGAAATCTATATAACTTTATTAATCAATGTCACCCCAATAAGCTCAATCCAAAATTTTTTTAAAGCATGGTTTTGACATTTATTAATGGCTGAAGAAAATCAAAGGAATAACATTTTATAACATGAAATTCACACTGTGGTGACCACAAGTAAGATTTGGGAACACCGCCAAGCCGCCCATTAGGGGGCCAAGGTGACTAGTCTATAAGGAGACTATATGGCTTGCAAATGTCTGACTCCTTAAGAAAGTGTGCCAACCTCTGCTCTGCACCAAACTTAACACTGAATATGGTTAGTTGTTTTTAACTACAAGAACTTGTAAGCCAGATGTTTCTTTTGGAAATTTTTCTTAAGA